CTTTCCTGTGTTTCTTCGCAATTCTTTTCACGACTTTGGTTTTGCCCGATTCGTCTGTAACTTCCTCAAATATGGTGATAAAGAACCGTTTGTGAATTACTGGCCTTCCAGCCTTATCCACCGTTTCCTCCACGGTCGTTTTCACTTGAGGCTCACCGACAAGCGACGCGTTCTCCTTTGGTACGATCTGTTCGACAATCTGCTTCTCGAGCTGATCATTTGTGGGCTGTTCAACTGGCTCCTCCACGTCCTCAGTAACGGGCTTTCCGTTGACCTCCGATGTTTTCTGAGTCTTCTTAACAACACGCTTCACAAGCCTCTTCGTTCCTGTTTCATCAATCACTTCTTCGATAACGGTAACAAAGATGCGCTTGATTTTCACAGGCCGGCCATTTTCATCCACCGTTTCCTCCACGTTTGTCTCGAGCTTAGGCTCTCCAACAACAGTTCCAGTTAGTGCCGACAGGACCTCTTCAGCGACGGATGCTTGAGTATCGTCCGGCACCGAACTCGCAACAATTTCGGTTTCTTCGGGCTCATCGTACTCTTCAGTCATTGGCTGTCCATGAATTTCCGTTACTTTTCTGTGTTTCTTCACAATTCTTTTCACGACTTTGGTTTTGCCCGATTCGTCTGTAACTTCCTCAAATATGGTGATAAAGAACCGTTTGTGAATTACTGGCCTTCCAGCCTTATCCACCGTTTCCTCCACGGTCGTTTTCACTTGAGGCTCACCGACAAGCGACGCGTTCTCCTTTGGTACGATCTGTTCGACAATCTGCTTCTCGAGCTGATCATTTGTGGGCTGTTCAACTGGCTCCTCCACGTCCTCAGTAACGGGCTTTCCGTTGACCTCCGATGTTTTCTGAGTCTTCTTAACAACACGCTTCACAAGCCTCTTCGTTCCTGTTTCATCAATCACTTCTTCGATAACGGTAACAAAGATGCGCTTGATTTTCACAGGCCGGCCATCTTCATCCACCGTTTCCTCCACGCTTGTTTCGAGCTTAGGCTCTCCAACAACAGTTCCAGTTAGTGCCGACAGGACCTCTTCAGCGACGGACGCTTGAGTATCGTCCGGCACCGAACTCGCAACAATTTCGGTTTCTTCGGGCTCATCGTACTCTTCAGTCATTGGCTGTCCATGAATTTCCGTTACTTTTCTGTGTTTCTTCACAATTCTTTTCACGACTTTGGTTTTGCCCGATTCGTCTGTAACTTCCTCAAATATGGTGATAAAGAACCGTTTGTGAATTACTGGCCTTCCAGCCTTATCCACCGTTTCCTCCACGGTCGTTTTCACTTGAGGCTCACCGACAAGCGACGCGTTCTCCTTTGGTACGATCTGTTCGACAATCTGCTTCTCGAGCTGATCATTTGTGGGCTGTTCAACTGGCTCCTCCACGTCCTCAGTAACGGGCTTTCCGTTGACCTCCGATGTTTTCTGAGTCTTCTTAACAACACGCTTCACAAGCCTCTTCGTTCCTGTTTCATCAATCACTTCTTCGATAACGGTAACAAAGATGCGCTTGATTTTCACAGGCCGGCCATCTTCATCCACCGTTTCCTCCACGCTTGTTTCGAGCTTAGGCTCTCCAACAACAGTTCCAGTTAGTGCCGACAGGACCTCTTCAGCGACGGATGCTTGAGTATCGTCCGGCACCGAACTCGCAACAATTTCGGTTTCTTCGGGCTCATCGTACTCTTCAATCATTGGCTGCCCATGAATTTCCGTTACTTTTCGGTTTTTCCTCACAAGTCTTTTGACGACTTGGGTTTTGCCTGATTCATCCGTGACTTCCTCGAAGATGGTGATAAAGAACCGTTTGTGAATTACTGGTCGCCCATCCTTATCCACTGTTTCCTCTACGGTGGTTTTCACTTGAGGCTCACCGACCAGTGACACGTTCTCCTTTGGTATCATCTGTTCGACGATCTGCTTCTCAAGCTGATCATTTGTGGGCTCGTCCATTGGCTCCTCCATGTCCTCAGTGACGGGTTTTCCGTTGACCTCCGATGTTTTCTGAGTCTTCTTCACAACGCGCTTCACAAACCTTTTCGTTCCTGTTTCATCAACCACTTCTTCGATAACGGTAACAAAGATGCGCTTGATTTTCACAGGACGACCATCTTTATCCACCGTCTCCTCCACGTTTGTCTCAAGTTTGGGCTCGCCAACAATGGCTCCAGCCAGTGCTGGCAACACCTCACCAGCAAAGGACGATTCCGTCATGACAGGTACAGACGTCAGCACGACCTCGGATTCCTCCGGTTCATCGTACTCTTCAATCACTGGTTTCCCATCTACTTCGGTTATTTTTCGGTTCTTCTTCAATACTCTTCTGATGACTTTGTTCTTCCCCGATTCATCTGTGACTTCATCAAATATGGTGACGTAGATCCTTTTGTGCAGCACTGGTCTTCCAGACTTATCCACTGCTTCCTCCACGGTGGTTTTCACTTGAGGCTCTCCCACGAGTGACATTTTCTCCTTTGGGACAATCTGTTCCAGGATTTGCTGCTCCAACTGATCATTGCTGGGCTCGTCATTCATCTCCTCTACGTCCTCCGTTACCGGTATTCCATTTACCTCCGATGTTTTCTGTGCCTTCTTGACAATCCGCTTCACGACCCTCTTGCTTCCAGTTTCATCAGTGACCTCTTCAGTGATCGTCACAAAGATGCGCTTGATTCTCACCGGATGACCATGTTCATCGACAGTCTCCTCTACAGTTGTCTCCACCTTGGGTTCTTCAACCACTGATCCAGTCAGCGCCGGCAGAAACTCTTCCGCCACAGATGATTCGGTCATGTCTGGTACCGAGGTGGCCATGGTTTCGGACTCCTCGGGATCATCGTACTCTTCAACCGTTATTCTCCCATCTACTTCCGTTACTTTTCGGTTCTTTTTTAGCAATCTTTTCACGACTCTGACCTTGCCTGATTCGTCGGCCACCTCTTCAAATATGGTAACGTAAATTCGTTTGAAGATGACTGGCTTTCCAGCCTTGTCTACCGTTTCTTCCACGGTGGTTCTTACTTGAGGCTCTCCCACGAGTGAAACGTCTTCTGGCACCATCTGTCGCACGGCTTCCTTCTCCAACTGGTCATCTGTGGGCTCATCTACTGGCTCTTCGATGTCCTCAGTTACAGGCTTTCCACTAACCTCTGATGTTTTCTGGGCTTTCTTGACGATACGCTTCACAATTCGTTTGGCTCCAGTTTCATCGGTCACCTCCTCGACCACTGTCACAAAGATGCGTTTGATCCTGACAGGATGTCCATGTTCATCCACAGTCTCTTCTTCGGTTGTTTCCACGTTGGGCTCTTCAATCATGGATCCAGTCAGAGACGTCACACATTCTTGAACAAGTGAAGTGTCGCCTACAATTTGATGAGGCGCAGGGGCTGTCTCAGGTTTTACTGGCACTTCCGTGTGTGTGGAGTCGTACTGTGGCTGAAGACTTTCCCTCACGTTATCTGGTTCTTCACACTTCACCGCACGTTCAGACGTACTAGCAGGTTCCTCACTAAAATCGCCGACATCCGCAAGGCTCAAGTCGTCGATGACGATCGGAGGTTCAGCGGTATGCTCAACGAGATGAGTACCGTCTTCCTCCTCCGTAACCTTTTGAGTTTTCTTGTGGATTTTCTTCACGAGAACCTTTTCCCCACTCAATGTAACAATTTCTTCGACAATGGTAATGTAGACTGTCCTGAGTGTGACCTTGCGTCCCTTATCATCAACACCTTCTTCTTCTTGTGTTTCTATGTGAGGTGCTTTCACTGGTGTTCCCTCCGAGAGTCGTAGAACATCCTCCAGTGCCTGTGATTCAAGCTGTGTAACTGAAGTGTCATGCTCCACTTCCGTGTTTCCCCGCACATCATCTCCAGCAATCGGCGCCTTTCTCCCGGAAGCGTCCTGCAATGCTGGTTGTTCAGTGTCTGCGACGATTTCATGGGAGTCCCTCTTCTTTCCTCCCCTACGCTTACGCTTCTTCTTTTCAGGGATAGCAGTTTCCCTGCCGCCTGGAATCGGCTCGTCCAGAGACTCTTGGGGATAATTCAGACTTTCGCTCGTAGTCAGATGCTCTGTCACAACATTTTTCGTTGGAAGAGAGCTTTCAAGCTGCATCTCAGCCTCTAGAGGAGCATCCAATACTTCAAAGCCCTCCACAGTGGGAGTAGCTTGCGGCGTTTCAGTGATAGGGACAGCACTTGTGTCAGGGGTTGTACCAACAGGCGTTTTAGGTGTTTCAGGTTCAGACTCGCCTGAACCCTCTCCCTCTTTCTTGTCCTCGCTGCCCATGAAGTATCCAGTCAACCTGCTCAGCAAACCACCGGCTGCAGGCTGATTTGCCTTTTTCTTCGGCCTCTTACGTTTCTTTTTTGCTTTAGTGACCGGCACGCCATCTTGTGCTCCTTCCTCACTGCTGCGCCGCACCACCTCAGGCAGCGCTGCGTCTTCTGGTGTTGAGCCTTCACTGGGCTCTTCTCTGGGTGGTTCAACAGGTTTGCTTTCCTCAGGGATAGTAGATGTTGAAGTTAACTGTTCCGTTACCAGTGCTGGCTGCGTAATATCCATTTGAGGTGTTGCGGGAACCACGTTGCACACCAGCAAATGAGTTCGTTCGGCGGAGGGCGCAGACGGTTCCACGCATGGTTCTTCAAACTCCTGAACTATCACACCATTGTCGTATACCGTTTTACGAGTACGCTTGTGTACGTGTTCTCTAAGGATAACGTGCCCAGCGTCATCAACTTGCCGTTCGTAGGAAGTAGTTGTCACGATACGCACTACCACTCGACGCCCCTGGTCATCGACGTGTTCCTCAACTTCCTCGCTAGTGGTCGGCTCCGGGGTCTGGGCGACATCCGGTACCACATCACCATCCGCCTCATGGCACTCTACCACCTCTCCATTCACGCTGACCGTCTTCAGCACGCGCTTATGTACATTCTCCGTGAGCACAATGTTGCCAGATTCGTCCTCCTGCTTCTCAAACGTAGTGGTGATGATAGGTTCGGATCACCACGTGTCGGCCGAGTTCGTCCGTTGTTTCGCTGACCTCCTCCCGCTTGGTAGGCTCTGGCAAGGTCAAGTCGAGTTGCCGATCGTCGGATCCATCGCCGGATCCCTCCTCTTCTTGAAGTTCTTGTACCAAGTGTCCTTGATCATAAATCAGTTTCTTAATCCGTCGCTGAACGCGCTTGACCACTTCACATGTACCATCCTCCAATTCGCGTTTCTCATATGTTGTTACAGTGGTTGTCCTGACGACAACCCTCCGACCGTTCTCATCCACAAACTCCCTTTCCTCTTCCTTCACCGTGTCCTCCGGGATAGCAAAATCTTCGCCCTCCGTCTCTTCGATGGCCGTTCGAGTTTCGACCCCGGGGGAAAGATCTGCCTCTCGTTCCAGTGGAACTGTAGTAGTGATATCAGCTGCTTGCTTATCCGGAACCTCCTGGATTACACCAGCCTTTCCTTGAGGGATGTGTGTTGTGTCAGTAAGTTGGGCATTTTCCACTGATTGCTGAATTTCACAAACCACGTACTCAGCACCGACATCCGTTGGTTTTCCGAACTCCTCAGATGAGGCAAGTTTTGTACGCTGGTCTTCTGTCGTATCAAGAGGCTCCATGTCGGTGATATCTGCAGCTGACCTCACCACGCGCTCACTCGAAACAGTGGCCACCTCCTTCTCAGGTACAGGCTTTGCGTCGCTTGCCACTGGTCTCTCTTCCAGCTCGGTAGCTACAACGCCAACAGGTTCAAGACGAGGAACCTCAACCACAGCCTGGCGACTCGCCTCCATTTTTGGAATATGGAGAGGTGATTCTTTCTCGTACGTTGCTTCCAAAGCTTCAGAGGCTGCCGTTCCCGTAGCATCCAGCCGCTCCATTCCAACTGCAGACTCAGGGCGCATGTCGTTCTCCCCAGCAACGGACTCTTCGACGGGTTGCTGAGCTACACCCACCAGTGCGTCTCTCTCAGACAGAACGACCTGGCCCACGCCACGTGGGTCACGCGCTTCTCTCACCTGACCCTCCCTATCGAATACCACACTCACGCCCACGTCTGGCAAGGTCGCCGCTGGCTCCTCCACTCGTGTCAGGCCCTGACCCATCTCAGGCGCTGCGGAGTCGGGATGGAGTGCGGCAATTTCGACCGGTTCCTGGTAGTCCACTACCACAAAATCGGTGGTCGGTTCCGGGCTCGTGGCTTCTCCGCGATGGTCCGCCGGCTTGGAGGCATCTTCCAACGGCGTGGCGCTTTCCACGGTCCGCACTTCACGCGTGGATAGCGGGAGCCCCTGCAACCGGTGCAGGTCTGCTGTAGGCAGCTGTTCGGTAGGGTGCTCCGTCGCAAGGGGCAATGAAGCCTCTCGATCCAGCGTTTGGTCTTCGCGCGACGTCCTGTGGACGTGGCTAACGATCTGGCTATCCAAGGCCTCAGCGGGTCGCCTCTGAACATCGAACTCCAAAGTTTGTAAAGATGCGTCATCTTGTACGTCCGACACTGGGATCTCTTCGCCATTCACCAGAACCATGCGCACAATCCTCGTCACCACTCGCTGCACCCGGTTCCCCTCACTGTCCGTGTCCGTAACTGTCTGAACGATCTTGCGAACCTTGATCTGACGACCCTGCTCGTCAACATATTGATCGATAGTCTCCTGCTTCTCCGGGGGCGTCTGTTCCCGCGACAGACTAGTCGTTTCAGTTGTGACGCGGTAAACCATATCGGACACGTCTTCGTGCTTTGGCACTTCGGGGATCGACACCAGCTCGATTTCTTCTGGCTCCACGAACTCTTCTGTGAGAGGCTTTCCGGCCTCTGGCGTCGTTTTTCTGACCTTCTTTATAACACGCCTCCTAGTAACGGTATTACCTTGTTCATCAATGATTTCTTCCACTATCGTAACGCGAATGCGTTTAATGTATACTGTTTGACCGTTCTCGTCAACTGACGTTTCGGTAGAAATCTGCACATCTGGTTTTTCCACATACTTTCCATCAAGAGGAGCAAGGATTTCCTGAACAACGAGTCTTTCTGCTTCACTTTCTTCTGCAGGACTTATGGCCGACACAGACTGCAATTCCTTAACTCCCTCTACAATCTGAGTTTCCTTCACGGCTGCCTCGGCATTCCCAAGACCCGGCGTTTTGACATCCGTCCCGGCCCCATCGCCGGGGAGCGCGCTACTGTCATCTCTCTGAGGTGACAAAAACAAGGACTCGGATGCCTCTTCAGCGATCTCAATCGAGTCCCCATGTTTTACCGCTGGCTTGACATGTTTGTCCTTCTTTTTGGATTTCTTTGTGGACTTCTTGCCATTGACGGGTTCTCGTTTAGCATCATCGGTTGCAGCCTCTTCTGCATGGGTCACGGGCTGGGCCTGCACAACTGCAGTATCGTCTTTGACGGCACTACTGTCAGGTCCAGTGGGCAGTTTTTTGTCAGCCTTTCTCTGTTTAGGCTGTTTGCCGGGCTGTTTCGGTAGTGAGCCTGTATCCTTGGCAGGTTTGGCATCTTGGGGTAGTTGGGAGTCACTTTCCGAAGACTGTGTTGGTTGGGATGCCTTATCCCCTACCTCCTTAGGTTCAGATGCTCCTGAATCGTGAGGTGTGACGCTCTTGGCGACCACAGCAGGCTCAGACTTTTCAGTGGCGGGAGCTTGGGGAACTTCTATGTGGTGAGATTTCTTTTTTGATTTTGTTTTCTTGGTTGACCGACTTCCTTTTACGTCTTCCGCATGCTGAGGTACAGAGTCGACAACAATGGCCGCTTCAAGAGCGTCGTCCGCAACCTCAACGTCAGATGATTGCTCCAAATTTTGGCTCAAGGTTTTTTCCGACTCAGTTCCAGCTTGAGACCTCTCATCTGCAGCAATAGTCTGAGGTTCGTCAATGACCATAAGAACCTCAGCAATAACGTCTTCCTTTGGCTCCGTTACCGTATCAACACTGAACTCATCCAGTTTCTCACCCAATTCATCTGACTCCGTAGGCTCATCCGAAGTGGGCCTTTTATCCCGTTTTGTTTTCTCCTGTGACGCTTTTGACCTGTGGTTTTTGCCTGGTTTCTTTTTGTCAGGTGCATCTGCAGGCTTTTTGGAATGGTCCGTTGGATATTCTGGATGAATATTAGGGTCCTCAATCATGCGAACGATGTCATCCAATTCCGTATCCTCCTTTGGCCGAGGTGACTTGCTGCGATGCCGACTCCGGCGTCGTGGGCGTTTCCGCTCGACGTGGAGCGAGTTTGAGTCTTCCGTAGTCTCGTGGGACGACACTGTAGATGCTGTGTCGTCCGGTCGGGCCTCCGCTTCCGAGGTTTCCACCGACTCCTCATTGGGGAACTGTGGATCCATAATCGTCGGCTCCGCTCCTTGGACGGACTCTTCACCCTTCCGCTTCACCCGCTTCTTCTTTCGGTGCTTTTTCTTTTGCGACGCGTCCTGCTTCTCCTCACTGGCTGCAGATTCCAACACAGGCACTGAAGAGTCTTTGAAGTATGTTTCATGATCGGATTCTTTGTCATTTTCCACTTCGTCAAAGTGAGTAACAACAACTGCATGTCCATACACTGGATCATTTACCTCAACGATGAGGTCGTGCCCGTCGGACACGGATGCCGGGGCTGATTCCGGCGGTTTCGGGCTTTCCTCCGAGGAGTTGGACAACTCCTGTGATTTCGCGGCATCGTTGTTCCTCCTACGACTTCGCTTGCGAGGCTTGCGTTTCTTATCCTCTTTAGACGGAGTCATTAACAGCTGCAGCAGCTCTTCCTCAACTTTCTTGGGGTCCAAAGACGCTGAATAAGGATCCAAAGGCTCCTCCGGAGCCTTTGGCTGCTTTTTGGAATGTTTTTTCGAAGGCTTATCTCTGTGCTGCTTGTCTGTTTTCACAGATGGCTCCGAGGCCTCCCGAACAGCAACCTTTGTCGTCTCATCAGGTTCTTGCACAGTGAGCTTCGGAATATCCCCTTCCTCCACTGCTGGCGTTGCTGACACAATTTCCTCCTTTTCCACGGGTTTCGCACCCGCCGTACTTTCTTCCACGTTCAATGTTTCGATGACTATTGGGTCATCAGTGTCTTCCGTCACGGCATTGCCATCCATGTCGACGCTCTTCTGAGTTTTGGATATCCGTTTCCTCACCAGTTGTTTGGTGCCTGACTCTGTTACAATTTCCTCAACAATGGTCAGGTAGATACGTACAACCCTCGTCTTCTGGCCATTCTCATCCACTACCTCTTTCTCAAATCTTTCAACTTCAGGTGTTCCGACAAAATTGCCTTCTTTCGGAAGGAGCAACTGAACTAACTGCTCGTCCGTCTGGCCCATCAAAGGTCTCTCCACAGGCTTCGCATCTGAGGCCGTCCCTGAGTTGGGATCTAGTTTTTCTATCTCGCCAAGATCCCGCTCATCTATCCTCTCTACCACGGGCCCACTGGGAAGATTCGTAACTTTCTGGGCGCTTGATACTCGCCGTTTCTGTACAATCTTTTCCCCAGTTTCCGAAATAACCTCTTCCCAAACCGTGATGTACACTCTCACAACTGTCACTTTCCGACCAAAGCGGTCCACAGTCTCAGTGACATCTCGTTCGACAACAGGTTCTGAAACCATAAGGTTTCCAGACGCCGGCAAAAGCGTGGATATAGTTTCGGCATCACTGAGGCTCGTCAAAGGCTCAGTGACGGTCGCGACGGACGGAACTTGATCATTAGTAGCGTGTGGCTTCTTCTGCAGCATCGTGTCTTGTACAGCATGTTCCAGGACCTCGTCATGAGGCTGCTGTTCTATTCCTTCTTCTTTGCACTCCGGGATGTTGGAAATCTCGACAATTTCTTGTCCATTCAATTTCGTACAGCGCTTCTGCTTCTTGATCACACGACTAATGGTCACCTTGTTTCCAGTTTCGTCGACAACTTCTTCAACAACAGTCACAAAAACACGTCGGATAATGACCTTCCGTCCATGCCTGTCTGTAGTTTCTTCTATGTAAGCCTCAACTTTAGGTTTCTCAACCATGATTCCAGTGACCTCAGCCAACGCACTTTCAATTATATCGGAATCATTGGTTTCTTCAGGGGAACCACTTAAGTTCTTTTCAACAGCCATCACTGGGGTGGCCTCCAACGTCTGGGTCACTTCCTCTTCCGTTACACACGGTCCCGGGTCAGCAGACAAAGGTATTTTTGCATGTTTTTCGACGCTGGGACTTACGTCAGCGACTTCTTGCTTCTTTACAGCCGGTTCAGAATGAATAGGAGCAGATACAGGCATGGAAGACGCATCGTCCTTGTCTTTTGGGGCTTCGTTGTCACCTGTGATGAAGTTACTGATTTTCGAGAACCATCCTTGCTTTTTAGGCGCTTCCGGCACACCTGGTGCTTGATCCTTAACCTCAGGTGTATCCCCGATGATCTCCACATTGACATCCACGTCATGCGGTGCCACCTCTCTTGGCTCATCTGTCTGGGCATCTACGGCCGATCCTGTTGTCTCCGTACCAGTCATGGGTTCACCATGCTCAGTACTTGCCACCGAGCCAGATGGTTCCTTTCGGGCAGACGGCAGAAGTTCACTCAGTGGAGGCAAGCCGCCGCTCTCCGAGCTGGGCGTTACGAGCTGATGAGCCATCATCTCAATTGGCGACGCATCCACGCGAATCTCTTCAACTGTAGTTTCGGGCCGTTTGTCTGGGTGTGGCCACTCAATCACATCCCGGTCCACGTCAGTCTCAGACCTCTTCTTGGCATTGCCCTGGATCTGTGTCACTGGCTCCTCAATGAGGCGACCAAGTACTAGGTTCAGATCCACTTCGTCCTTGGGGGCTGGTCGCAGCTCAGGAAGCTCATGCAGCTGCTCAACCTTATCTCGAGGAATTTCAGGTGGCTGCTCTGCAGGGAGGTCGTCGAGCTCGGGCAGATCGTTGGCCGATTTCTCTTCTGGAGTTGTTTCATGCCGCATTTGGTCAAACAGTGTCTGGTACACTCCAACCGCCTGCTGCGGTTTCGCTTTTGTGTCCGCTTCTGGCCACTGAGGTGGCAATTCCATGGCAACAGCCGTTGGCTCCTTTCTGGGGATTGGCTCAACGCTGAGCGCTGGTTGTTCAAAGCGCTTTTTCATCACATTACTGATGTCTTCGACGGGTCTCCTCTCAGCCTCCAAAAGAAGGCTGACATCGCTTGGTTCAAACGCAGGCTTTTGCGAGGGATCAGTGGTGGGAATATCTGCTTCCAGGGCCCGGTGACTTCCCAGTTCGTGCTGTACTTCTGGTGGGTCTTTAGAGCCCTCTTTGGGCGCTTTATGTTCCTCTGTTTCATGTCCAAGGTCGGGATGGACTTCAGCCATTTCAGGAGCTTTAGTCTCCTGTGCAACCCTTCTTTCATGGAACTTGCGTTCAGCATCCCTGAGCGGATATATGTCGAGCGAGACCTCTTCGTGGAGGATAACAGAACTAAGCTTTGTATCTTTTTCGACGCTATGAACATCAGGGGAAGTGTCAACATGCTGAGTTTTCCCCTCAGCTTCCATGAGAGGACGATGTGGTGCTAATTGCGACACCGTCCTTTCATGGTGCACTCTTTCAGCTTCATTTATCTCAAAAGTATTGAGCCAAGGCAGTCCACAGGGAAGATGAGCCTGAGACTTCGAAGGCACTGCTACCTTTGATGCTACGTTGTCCTCCAGCTGTTCAGCCTGAACGGGCTTGATGTTTGCGGTGGTCTGCATGGGAGCAGTGGAATTGTCCTGTTGTTTGCTAGCCTGTGCCCGGCCGTGTTTTGTATGGTATACGGTTTCAGCATCGTCAATCAATGCTTTGTCATACCAATCCTTTTCGGCCGCGAGCGATGCAACGTAATCTTCCGCTTTCAGGTACGGAGCCGCAGGCTCCTTCGATGCATGTCCATGCTCTTCTACTGACAATGGTATGTTGTCAGTTTCTTCCGCAGGCTCCTCGACCACGTCCACAGCCACTGTGCCATCGGCAGCAACCGTGGTTCTCACCGCTTTCCGAATGACCCGCGTTCTCTTGGTAACAACGCCCAACTCGTCTATTATGTCCTCAACGATAGTGATGTACATGCGTTTCAGCACCACCCGCCTGCCTTGAGGGTCGACGGACTCCACGACCTCGGTTCTCACAGTCGGCCGTTCGCTTACCTCACCTTCAGCACTGCGAAGTGCATCTGCAATGACCTCGTCCTCGGATTGTGCTTTCGGAGTGAATGACGGCTCGGAAACAACTACAGCCTGCTTTATCACAGGAGCCTCCGCATCACCTAGCTGGTCCTGCTCGGGCGTCACGCTACATGCCGCCTCCTGCAGGAGTTCCGGGGCACTTTTCCCATCCACCTGTTCCGGATGGGGGGTTTCTGTAGGAGGTTTGTCACGCTTCTTTTTTGTCTTCTTCGGTGGCTTTGTCTTCTCCGGCCGTGACTTTAATGGCTTACTGTCCTGTTTGGTGGCGCTGATCTGTTGCTCCGGGCGCAGGACAAGCCCCACTGATTCCGCTGTAGATGACGGCGGGTCTTCAAATGCTTCCTCAGCAATCTCCACGGATTCATCAATGGGACTCTTAAAGGGAGTTCTAACGTCATGTCCAGGTAGGTCTCGGGGCAAAGCCAGGGCTTCCGTGTCCTTTGGAACAGAGGCATCCCTTGTAAGTTCTTCCACAACTTCAGGCTCCGAACGCTCCTCTACCACTGGCTTACCATTAACATCCGACGTCTTGATGATATGCTTTACCAGTCGCTTTACTGTAGAGGGCTTTCCTTCTTTGTTTTGCCTCTCCTCTATGATAGTGATCGTAATCGTCTTGTACGTGACCTTTCTACCGTTTTCAATCGTTTCATACAGATCTTCATCCACTTGTGGCTCTTCAACTAGTTTCCCAGATATGGCCGGCATGTAACGAATGAACTCTTCTAGTTTGTGCACGATCACACGATCTTCTTCCGGAAGCTTCTGAGAAGGCTCTTCATTAGCGTTGGCCGGTGGGACGAAAGATACAGCAGGATGGGACGTGGCGTCCCGTTTCGAATCGCCAGGCGAGAGCGGCGTTGGAACCTTCACAGGTGTCGCTGGTTCGCTCGGCAGAGTGTCAGCTGTGGTATCCGACTCATCATTCCATTCAATGAGGGCAGGTGCATCCTCCGCAGACGAAGATTCATCCGCACTTCCATGCACCTCCTCTATGACGTCGACCAGCTCACCATCCACATAGATGGTCTTCCGCACACGTTTCTGAACGCGCTCCACAATAACAATATGCCCATTCTCCTCCACCTTATCGTACGTAGTCGTGATGGTCGTATGGACAACAACACGGCGGCCGTCATCTTCAGTAAATTCCTCGGTCGTTTCCTCGATCGTCGGTTCCGGTAGCACAACATTCTCCGAATCACCAACAGCCTTTTGCAGCTTTGACATCTCGGTGGCGGACGTGTGGACGGTGCATGGATCTTTCGAAGGTTCCTCGAACTCCTCGACAATCTTATCCCCAACATAAATTGTCCGATGAACTCGCCGTTGTACCTTTTCCAAAACCACAATGTTGCCCTCGTCATCGCTTTGCTTCTCGTACGTGGTGGTCGTCACCGTTTTGATCACGACTCGCCTCCCCTGCTCATCCACGCTCTCTGTCACATGCTCCTCCGTCTTAGGCTCGGGTAGTTGTACGTCCAATACGAGTTCTTTAATGTCTTTGGCTGTTTTCTTTGTCATTGTTGGCTCCGTGGTTGGCTCCTCAACTTCTTCAATCACCTGGTCTCCGAGGTAAACTGTCCGGAAGATCCGACGGTGGATTTTCTCATAGATCACGAGATCACCTGAATCAGTCGTTTCGGTCTCGTACGTGGTCGTGGTGACGGTTCGCGTGACCACCCGACGTCCATCAGGCTCTGTGTGTTCGACAACGTCCTCTGTAGTCGATGGTTCGGGCAGACGGATCTCGTCCTTCTCAGCAGCTGTCGTTTTTGGCATCTCCTTTGTGTCCGGCCGGCTACTTACCTTGACGGGAGCCTCACTGACTTCTACAGCATTGGTGCTGCTGGTACTGTCCGGTTCATCAATCTGCTCAATGACTTCGTCCCCAGCATAAATTGTCCGATGAACTCGCCGCTGCACCTTTTCCAAAATCACAATGTTACCCTCGTCATCGCTTTGCTTCTCGTAAGTGGTCGTCGTCACCGTTTTGATCACGACTCGCCTCCCCTGCTCATCCACGCTCTCTGTCACATGCTCCTCCGTCTTAGGCTCGGGTAGCTGTATGTCCATTATGAGCTCTTCAATGTCTTTGGCTGTTTTCTGTGTCATTGTTGGCTCCGTGGTTGGCTCCTCAACTTCTTCAATCACCTGGTCTCCGAGGTAAACTGTCCGGAAGATCCGACGGTGGATTTTCTCATAGATCACGAGATCACCCGAATCAGTCGTTTCGGTCTCGTACGTGGTCGTGGTGACGGTTCGCGTGACCACCCGACGTCCATCAGGCTCTGTGTGTTCGACAACGTCCTCTGTAGTCGATGGTTCGGGCAAACGGATCTCGTCCGTCTTGCCCGTTGTCGTTTTAGGCATCTCCTTTGTGTCCGGCCGGCTACTTACCTTGACGGGAGCCTCACTGACTTCTACAGCATTGGTGCTGCTGGTACTGTCCGGTTCATCAATCTGCTCAATGACTTCGTCCCCAGCATAAATTGTCCGATGAACTCGCCGCTGCACCTTTTCCAAAATCACAATGCTACCCTCGTCATCGCTTTGCTTCTCGTAAGTGGTCGTCGTCACCGTTTTGATCACGACTCGCCTTCCCTGCTCATCTACACTCTCTGTCACATGCTCCTCCGTCTTAGGCTCGGGTAGCTGTATGTCCACTACGAGCTCTTCAATGTCTTTGGCTGTTTTCTGTGTCATTGTTGGCTCCGTGGTTGGCTCCTCAACTTCTTCAATCACCTGGTCTCCCAGATAAACTGTCCGGAAGATCCGACGGTGGATTTTCTCATAGATCACGAGATCACCTGAATCAGTCGTTTCGGTCTCGTACGTGGTCGTGGTGACGGTTCGCGTGACCACCCGACGTCCATCAGGCTCTGTGTGCTCGACAACGTCCTCTGTAGTCGATGGTTCGGGCAAACGGATCTCGTCCGTCTTAGCCGTTGTCGTTTTAGGCATCTCCTTTGTGTCCGGCCGGCTACTTACCTTGACGGGAGCCTCACTGACTTCTACAGCATTGGTGCTGCTGGTACTGTCCGGTTCATCAATCTGCTCAATGACTTCGTCCCCAGCATAAATTGTCCGATGAACTCGCCGCTGCACCTTTTCCAAAATCACAATGCTACCCTCGTCATCGCTTTGCTTCTCGTAAGTGGTCGTCGTCACCGTTTTGATCACGACTCGCCTCCCCTGCTCATCCACGCTCTCTGTCACATGCTCCTCCGTCTTAGGCTCGGGTAGTTGTACGTCCATTACGAGTTCTTTAATGTCTTTGGCTGTTTTCTTCGTCATTGTTGGCTCCGTGGTTGGCTCCTCAACTTCTTCCATCACCTGGTCTCCCAGATAAACTGTCCGGAAGATCCGACGGTGGATTTTCTCATAGATCACGAGATCACCTGAATCAGTCGTTTCGGTCTCGTACGTAGTCGTGGTGACGGTTCGCGTGACGACCCGACGTCCATCAGGCTCTGTGTGTTCGACAACGTCCTCTGTAGTCGATGGTTCGGGCAAACGGATCTCGTCCGTCTTAGCCGTTGTCATTTTAGGCATCTCCTTTGTGTCCGGCCGGCTACTTACCTTGACGGGAGCCTCACTGACTTCTACAGCATTGGTGCTGCTGGTACTGTCCGGTTCATCAATCTGCTCAATGACTTCGTCCCCAGCATAAATTGTCCGATGAACTCGCCGCTGCACCTTTTCCAAAATCACAATGTTACCCTCGTCATCGCTTTGCTTCTCGTAAGTGGTCGTCGTCACCGTTTTGATCACGACTCGCCTCCCCTGCTCATCCACGCTCTCTGTCACATGCTCCTCCGTCTTAGGCTCGGGTAGCTGTATGTCCACTACGAGCTCTTCAATGTCTTTGGCTGTTTTCTGTGTCATTGTTGGCTCCGTGGTTGGCTCCTCAACTTCTTCAATCACCTGGTCTCCCAGATAAACTGTCCGGAAGATCCGACGGTGGATTTTCTCATAGATCACGAGATCACCTGAATCAGTCGTTTCGGTCTCGTACGTGGTCGTGGTGACGGTTCGCGTGACCACCCGACGTCCATCAGGCTCTGTGTGTTCGACAACGTCCTCTGTAGTCGATGGTTTAGGCAGTCTCACCTTTTCCGTTGCAACCGCCGCCAGCTTTGGCTGCTCCATTGTGTCCTGAATGTCGAGTTTTTTCAAAGGTGCTTCGCGCATGTCCACAGCAGAGGTGCTGACAGGTTCATCAACTTCTTCGATGACTTGGTCTCCAATATAAATTGTTCGGTAGACTCGTCGCTGCACTTTTTCCAGAATCACCACGGCGCCTTCATCATCAGTCTGCTTTTCGTACGTCGTTGTCGTCACTGTTTTGGTCACAATTCTTCTTCCCTGATCATCCGTGCTCTCCTGGACCTCTTCTTCCGTTTTGGGCTCCGGTAGTTCGGCATCCACACGCATATTTTGCTTTGAGAGCTTATGAATTTCCTCCGCAGTTTTCTTGGTTACCGTCGGTTCTGGCGTCGGCTCCTCCACTTCTTCCACAAGTTGGTCTCCATCGTACACCGTGCGTAGGATCCGACGGTGAACTTTCTCATAGACTACGACATCATCTGTCTCGGTCATCATGGCATCATACGTAGTTGTTATGATGGTTTTGGTGACAACCCGTCGACCATCCGGCTCGGTATGCTCCACGACGTCTTCAACAACTGACGGCTTCGGGATCAGGAGTGTATTCGTGAGACCACCCGTTGTGGGCGGCTGTTTTTCTACAAGACTTTCGACGTCAGTTCGGGACCTGCGTGATACGTCTGGTTCCGGTGTGGGATCTTTGATGACCTCAACCACCTGACCGTCCACGTATACCGTATGCATAACGCGTCGGCACACATTCTCGAGCACCGTGATGCTTCCGTCGCTCTCGCACTTCTTTTCGTACGTGACAGTAGTGGTGGTTTTTTCGACGACCGTTCGGCCTTGTTCGTCGATGTACTCGCGCTCCTCCTCCGTGACACGCGGTTCCGGAAGCACAAAGTCACGTGCAGGGTCCCACGTCAACTGGTCAGCGTTCTCCGCGGACGTCTCCTCCACGACTTCTTCCCCGTCCCTGTATGTTATTCTGGTGGTGTGAGCTTTCTCTAGAATAACTGGGGTCCCATCATCATCTCTGCCCTCCTCGTACGTCGTTCTTGTGATGGTCTTGATCGTAACTCTTCTTCCGTTCTCATCGACCCGAGATTCGACGTGTTCTTCGGTTTTCGGCTCGGGGATCTCAAGTACATATTCAACAGATTTCTTCCTCGAAGGGTCCCGAATCTCTTCAACAATCTCTTTACCATCAACGAACACGGTACGGAATACCCTTTTCTGGACCTTCTCTAATATCACCACATTTCCATCTCCATCCCTGTCTTGTTCATATGTTGTGGTATAAACAGATCGTATCACAACTCTCCTGCCAAGGTCATCGACGTGCTCCTCCACCTCCTCCCTCTCAGTTGATGGAGGCAATTCGATGTTCTCTTCTACATCATCCGGGGCATCAATAGTCTCTTCGACAATCTTACCATCAACGTACACTGTTCTCTGCACCCTTTTCTGTATCTTCTCAAGGATTAGAGGACTTCCATCCTCATCTTCAGTCTCTTCATATGCGGTCCTAATGGTAGTTCGCACAACAACGCGCCTGCCTTCTTCGTCAACGAACTCTTGCACATTAGTAGTTTCGGACGGTTCAGGAATCTGAAAGTTTTCATCGACGTACATAACATTCGAGTCCTTTGCATCTGGTCCGGCGTCTGGCTCCTCCAGCTGCTCTGAGACCACTTCTCCGTCCACATAAATCGTTCTCTGCACTCGCCGATGAACCTTTTCCAAAATGACAGTATTCCCCTCGTCGTCGTCCGTCTGTTCGTACGTTGTCGTAATCGTCGTCGTCACAACGACCCGCCGTCCTTCGGCATCCTCGTACTCTTCCGTTCGCGTCTCCGTCTTGGGCTCCGGCAGCTCGAAATCCTCACTGACATACTCGACCACCGGCGCCGACCCACTGGGCGGCTCCGAAGGCGGCGAGTCCAGCTCGCTCTCCTCCACCACCTGGCCGTCTAAGTACACGGTCTTCTGACGACGACGATGCACGCGCTCCAGGATCACCACCTCGTTGTCAGCGTTCTCTTGTCGCTCGAACGTGCTGGTCACGGTGGTGGTGATGACCACACGGCGGCCCAGCTCGTCCTCGTACTCCTCCACCTCGGTCCGTACACTGGGCTCGGGCAGCTCGGGCTCCAGCTGCTGCCGGCTCCACTCGTCGGGGGACAGAGCCTCGCTCCTCTCCGACTCGGTCACCTGCGGCGGCTGGCCGTCTGTCTGGCGGCAGACGCGTTCAGTCACGCGACGCACCACCACCGGCCGACCCTCGGCGTCCACTGTGTCCTCGTAGGTGGTGGTGGTAGTGGTGGTCGCCACAGTCGGCCGCCCCTCGGCATCCAGCAGGCGCTCCTCACTCGTCTTCACCTGCGGCTGACGAGCGACCGGTTTGCTGTCGCTGCGCACCTCCGTGCGCACCTGCTCGACGAACACAGGTGCGCCTGTCTCATCCAGCGACTGGGCGATCTCGGAGCTGGTAGAACGTTCGACGCGATGAGTGTTTCCCCGCTCGTCAACGCGTGTCTCTTGCAATGACTCACCCGGAGAGGCAGACTTCTTCGACCGACGCCTCGGCCGCTTTTGGCTTTTGTCCATTATCTGATGACAGAAAGTGGTGTTAGCCCTAGGTGACGCAGAGACCTGCGACGTCAACACATAAACCACAGTATTGTCGACCACGCGTACGTGAAACTTCTACGCCACCCTAAAGCGCTTATGCGTGTATAACTAATAACACAGTCACGGCTAATCACTGCATTACGGTCTGTCTTACACAAAATACAAATAAGGCAAGATAACTACCAACGTCAGTATATGTTAAGGCGTTCTCTTATTCTTCACCATCTCGCCAGGTCCACAGCCACGATTCCCAGAGGAATCAGCCTACTAGCTCCGACCCAGTCTAGCCGCTGACCTCGCAGCCAGTCTGGTGGCTGAAGAGACGTTTGTACCAAGTGACAAGACAGGGGGGTTGGGCGGCACCAACGAAAATCCTCACGCCAGATTTCTAACCTCTTTGTTTAAACGGTAAGTCAGCTTCTCCCTCTGCACTTCCCAATCCATTTCTGTCTCTCCAAGTATTTGTGCCTGCATCTCCATATATTTTACCATCCCTCTAACTCCCTCGCTCTCTCTGTACTTCTCTTGTCTGGTGGCGCTGTAAGTCCATATCAATACGCTAGCCATGACGCAGCGACGGGGCCGACCTGACACACATCTCTATGTTTAGGTTACGTGGGAGGGGGAAACCACTGCTTCGGCCCGATGTCGCGGCCGCATCAGGCGGCAGGCGGCAGGCGGCAGGCGACATGGGCAGGGCAGGGTGGAACTCGCCGCATAGCAACCGCTGCTTGAAGACCTATCTATATTCACCGCACCGCGGTGAAAATAAACAATGATTACTGGCGTCGTCAAGAGCACGACAGCCTGCCTGCTACGGACCACCAGCTGAGATGGCAATCTTGATGCTTCCCACGAGCTTATTCTTGAGAACGCTCCTTTTCCTTTGGCGCTTAGTCACGCAGCACACACTATATGCAGCATGATGTTCCTGGGCTTTTGGCCTGGTTTCCAACGGTGTCGTGTATGCTCATTGGATGTTAGTTGAGATTAAAGAAATAAATTTTCTGCTAGTGAGACGTCTTTTGTTGCGTTAGACGCGCAATGCAATTAAGGGTGTTATTTTCATCGTCATGTAGGTGATACCAGAAATAGGCCAAAAGACCTCGTGGCTTTCGGGAACCCGTACAAATGTGACTTATAAATGCGTTGTAATATCCTCCTTTCATGAATACATCAGGCAGAATGAAATGGTGTCAAGCGTCCGCGCAGCAAGTTGAGTGAGGTTGGCTACTTGAAGGAAGTGAATGGGTTGGACGTTTTGGATGCTTTTAATTCACATGGAGCGACCACGGCATACTACGTGGAATGACGATCACATCACAAAATCACAATCAAAGTTCTGCTTTAAAATTAGGCATGCACTCGAGAGGGTCCATACTCATTACATTTCCAAATTTAGCAGCATGCGTAAACACAGCTATATCGTTGTCAGCTTTGAGCCCAGGTAAGCTTGAGACATACATCGGTCATCGGCGTGATAATCAACCATCGCTGCAATGATCTGCTATCGGCGTGATCATCAACCACCGGTGTAATGACCTGCTATCGGCGTGATAATCAACCACTGACGTGATGATCAGACATCGGTGTGATGATCTGCCATTGGCGTGATAGTCAACCACTGGCGTGATGATCGGTCATTAACGTGATGATCAGCCATCGGTGTGATGATCTGCCATTAGCGTAATAGTCAACCGTCGGTGCGATGTTGGGCCATCCACGTAATAATTGCACACCAGTGTGATCATCTGCCATCATGGGAATACGACTGGAGGACGGGTCGCTCCGGACAGCTCCCAGGACGCGGCTGCCCCCGAGAGCGCCGCGCTGCACGGGGAGGGCAGACCGCTCCTAGGGCACGGCTGCCCCGAGAGCGCCGCGCTGCACGGGGAGGGCAGACCGCTCCGAACCGCTCCCAGGACGCGACTGTCCCTGACAGCGTGGTGCTGCACCGGGAGGCGCGGTGCCACGTGCAGCGGCCTGTCTCCGGACGGATCAAGCAAATTTAAGCAGTCAGCAAGACACAGGCACTGGCCTTGCCGGGCCCGCTGGCTGCTGGTTCCAGATGCATATGTTGAGAAAGATGTTCGCCAGCTCTTGGCATGGACTCCAAACACTGTTAGATTGTTCATCGTGGAATCACTTGATCTGAACAGCAGCGAAGCATCCTAACACCGCCCTCTGCCGTCGGGGAACCTTCGTCTTCAATATAGCTTTAACGCGCTATCTCCATTTCAGGAACACTTCAGCGGCAAGGCTATACGACACTTCCGACTAGCCGTTCATATACAGCGCGAGCTTACGTTGAGATGGCCCACCCAGCAACCAGTGCCCTGGAAAGATGAAAGCCGGAAGACATTTGCTGCGTGAATCGAAAAACCTCTCAACTGCAGGCGCTGCATATCAATCAAAATCACCCATTCTCAACAGCTGGAACTGGCATCGGAGCGCACAGGATCATCAGCCGCACTGCAACTAAGCAGCCAGAATGATGCAATTTGCAGCCGGTGCCGTGCAGCGCAGTCCGGTGCCGCGTGGCGTCCGCGGACCGCGCGGCTGAGGCGGCGGCGGTCGGCCGCGCCCCCCGCAGCACCGCGCGCCATGGGGCACGTGTCGCGCCGGCGGTCGGCCGTGCCCCGCAGCACCGTGCGCCATGGGGCACGTGTCGCGCCGGCGGTCGGCCGCGCCCCGCAGCACCGCGCGCCATGGGGCACGTGTCGCGCCGGCGGTCGGCCGCGCCCCGCAGCACCGCGCGCCATGGGACACGTGTCGCGCCGGCGGTCGGCCGCGCCCCTGCAGCACCGCGCGCCATGGGGCACGTGTCGCGCCGGCGGTCGGCCGCGCCCCGCAGCACCGCGCGCCATGGGGCACGTGTCGCGCCGGGGGTCGGCCGCGCCCCGCAGCACCGCGCGCCATGGGACACGTGTCGCGCCGGCGCGCGCCGTCCCCATGGCCGCCGCCACACCGACCCCTTCATCGACCCGAAGCCGGCCGGCCGCCGAGCGCCGGCCGCCGATCACCGGCCGTCGGCACCGGGTCGGAACCGAGCCACCGCTGCCGGGCTGGCGCCAATTCTGGACGCCGCCGCCCTCGCCCCTCACGTGACGGACGCGGGTGCGCCGTCCGGAGACGTGACACACACCGACGGGGGTGGACAAACCGGCATGCATGGACCGGACACTGCTGTGCACGTGGCGCAAGGCGAGCAGAGATGTTAAACGTCGAAAACGCCGTCTTCGGCACATAATATGACACTGAGATAGAATAAGCAGCAGTGCGCAGAGGAAATGAGTGCCACGCTTTGGACGATACGTCATCAACAGAACGTGTCGAATATAGCTCAGGACAAGGCATCCGAAGCAACGGTGTAGTGACGTCTAAACGGAATCATAAACGACTTCCGACGCACAGAACTCCCACTGGCTATCACCCAGCCCCTCGAGACAGCGCGCGTGAGGACGCTTATCACGTAGTGTGTTGCATGAGCCGATAAATGATGCGACGATGGAGCAGGATCATCGCACTTCTGAGCCAATGAGCGCCAACTGGCTGGACCACAGCACAAGCTGATGGAACATCGACTTCAGCTCACAACTGCCACACCATGTAAATTGGGAGCAATTCATCCGAATGGTCGCTCGAGGCCAACGAGGCCGATTTAAGGAAGCACGCAACAGATGGGAAGTCTACATTTTAGCTGCTAAAGAAATGTGTCCCTGGTAAAACAGCCATAGCTGAAATGTAGTGCCCGTGACACCACACATGGCGACAATATCACACACGCAGACGCAAAACCACACACAAAATGTCCCGGCCGCCAGGATGGTTCATTTCTGTAACTCCACTCTTGGAACCAGACTAACTTAAACACCCGAAATGGCCCAAGTATCGACGCAGTCTACAATAATGCTAGCGGCCAGCAGGCCGCCGCGGGCGGCGGGGCGGCGTTCTGCAAGGCTGCCAGCAGGCCACCCAGCGCGTCCCTCACGCGCACGTTCCACAGACGACTTCTGCTGCAGGCACTGGCGCCGGCGAGGCGACGCCAGCAGCTTGACAGAGCGCGCTGCAGACGGTCAGAAACACCGCAGGAGCCGTTCACCGAGGGGAGGCCCCGGCCTGCCCCTCCCCCCCCCCCCTGCAGAGTCGCGCCGCATACGACACTAGGTCACCGCTGCAGACGGCCAGGAACATCGCAGCGGCCGTTCACCTAGGGGAGGTGCTAGTCTGGCCTCCTCCTACAGAGCCGCGCTGCATACGACACTAGATCACCGATGCTGCGTTGGTCCCACACGGATGTGCAGGTCACGACCTGAGACCCGCCACCCGTGGCGCAGAGATGGCGTGAGCAGCTGTCGACCCAGAAACAATCCGTGCACGCCGTCCCCCGGCGCCGCCGCCGGCCTATTGATTGGTCGTCGGGGTGGCCCACGCGGACCCGCCCTGACCCGGCCCGCCGGCATGGCTCCCACCGCTGCGGGACGGAGAGCCGAGCTGAGGCACCAGGACGGCCTCGCCAGCGGCAGCCGGCGGCGCCCCCAGCCGTACTGCCTGCGGCTGTCGTGTGCGCAGGCCGTGCCGACCAGCGAGCCGTTACAGCAGCCCGGGGGGAGGGGCGGCGCTCCGGCGCTCCGGCGCCACGCACCGGAGCCATGGGCGAGGTCAATGGCGGCACGTGGGCCGGTAACGGGCGCCGCAGCCTTGCAGAACGCCGCCCGCCGCCCGCGGCGGCCGGCTGGCCGCTTCAAGGCGCGTCACCGCCTCCGGGCCCGCGGCGCTAAACGCCCGTGACTGGTGGAGTGCCAGAGGCGAGGATTCCAGCCGCGGGTACAGCCTGCGCTCGAGGCCGTTGCACTGTGTCACTCAACGGCAAGCACGACGACGCGTTTCAATAATTATCTGAGTGATTACAAAGCCCGGATTGCAAGCAGTGATTTGGCTAACTAATGAACAGCATGACGCAACTCGCCAACTAATTT